GATCGATAGAATTATTTCCGTTCGAATAGGCTGTTTAAACGGTAATTTGTTCGAATAAACTAGAATTTGTCGAGTCGGTCGTTTCGTCCTCGGCGCTTTTAATCGCGGTCGCCGCTTCCTAAACTCTCGCAAACGCTTTCTGGAGCGGCCGGTTTATCGGCTCGAGCCCGAGTTCTGCTCTTTCTAATCAGAAAATTCGTGAATCATTGCCGCTACGCGGAAATCAGCCTAATCATCCGACGTGGACGGCCTTGGCGGCGCTCTAACTATGCCGTTGCGCGTCAGTGATATTGTGTTTCGCTGTTCTAATCCAACCGGGTCGAGACCTACCGCGAATCGCAGTTCGCGGACTCGGTTCGAAGTTACTGTTAACTCGACGAGTGGCACAGCCTCGAGAAAATCGTTGAATCATCCGAACATAATAACCGCTGACCGGAGAGCCGGCGCCCGAATGCTCTATTAGAGGTTATGAATCAAACTCGTCCCGCGGTGACCGTCGTCGAGCTTCTCGAAAACTTCTTGCGATTCGACAACGCTGGAATTTCATTATAGTCATCGCGCACAATTTTCATTTTGCACGAGAATCCGCTCGGAATCGGCGCGAAAATAATTTAACGCTGAGATTGTGCACAAAAATGAACAATTTGGGAAAAGCAGGCGCGATTATTCGAGCCTTTTGTCGCCTTGCGACTGCACTTTTTGCTTCAAACGGCACGGATATTGCGTTACAATCTCTCTCTTTTTTTTATTATTATGACGTTTAATCGCAATTGATTCGAATTTCAAAAATATTCTGTCGTTGTAGCATTTTACATATTTTTAACCCCTTGCCCCGTACTTCGACGAGTCCGACTCGTCATAAAAATTTCTAATAATAACTTATTAACCCCTAACTTGTGTACGCTCGAGTTAATTCGAGCGCGCCAAACAGGTCGAACTGTGCACACTCGAGATAATTCGAGCGGCGTTGTATTTTGTGCTGCTGTAATTTTTCACACTCGAATATAATCGAGAATTGAAAATAACAATGTGGAAGCAAAGGGAAAAAATCGTTTTATCGATATTTATCATTTACATGGGATTGTAAGTTATAACGCTTATTTATTCGAGAATAAAATGTAGCCTTTTTCCATGGAACAGAAGCGCAGTATATCAATAATGTTGGGCTATGTGCTGCACCTTGGTTCGAAATATATCACGCAAAAGAAAATTTTGAATAATTTTTTAAAATAGATACTAGTACTATTATTATTTACGTTGTAAAAAATAGATGTTAATATAATAAAAAAATAATATAATTTAATTAATATAATAATTAATTAATATAAATTAATATTAATTATAATATAATATATATTAATATATATTAATTAAATTAATTAATATAATAAAAATAGATATTAATAGATATAATTATAATAGATAAATAAATATTTTTACTGATAAAAATATGTTTTTTCCGAGATAGCAATTCGAAAAGAAAGATAAAAAATATCGATGTACGTGTAACATCGCAATATTCGGCTCTTTTCTGCAATGTGGATCAAAATGCAAAATTAAATTAAAAAATTTTGATTATTTTTGTATTTTTTTCAATTTTTTTGCCAAGACAATGTTCTAATTTGTGTCTTTTTTACATAAAAAAAAATTGATTTCATTTGACCGGTTTCTAAAAAAAAAAAAAAAACTGTGCGTTAAGGGGTTAATAGAAGCCTCTCTGTTTTTCCGTCGACGGACGGATTCGTCAGCGGACGGATGAATGAAACGACAAGTCAGAGGAAATGAATCAGTGTCGCCGGTTACGAAGAAGCTTCGGTTGAATCACGCGTCTAGGAATTCGTTTTACATGTATATTTTCTACAGGTAGGAAGTATTCCGAGTGAAACTAGGTGTTGTACTTGGCATCGTTCGCGAATAGTTTAACGGTACACGGCTTCGATTCGCGATTCGTATCCCGTATTTCAAGCAGCCGAGTGCGCGCCGATATCGAACGTTATTCGAACAATATAACCAAGGTAATTGCGACGATAAAGAGACATATATCAATCGTGCATACTTTCATCATTTTTAAATGAATCCGTAAGTAGGGTTAGATCTTGGAACGCGGCCGTGTCCTCAGTGCCCTCTTGTGCTCGGCCGCGCGAACCAACTTAACCTCACATTCGCGGAAACAATGGTTACGAGGGAAGAGAACGTTGTCGAAAGAAACGCGGCGATCGCTGTAAGTGCGGTGCTTCCGAAAGAGCACAAAATTAGAATCGAGAACGTCTCTTTTCGTTTCGTTGGAAAAACATTTATGAAACGACGAGTGTCTGTCGCGCGGCAAAATATTAGGTCTAGTAATAATCAGTGTCGTTTCTTAGCGTTCGTTTAGAATCCTGCTTGCCGCTGACTTCATCGACATAACCTACAAACGCGCGATACTTACGAAAAGTGTGAAGCGTAATTAACAAGCTTTGCTGCAAAATGTTCGCGTTCGAACTGTTTTACTTCGCGAAACTAGGGTTAAAGGATGGCGGATGAAGAGCATATTCGGCATTGCACGCTTTACGAGTACACGTGAATAGCATACGCACAACCTGCGTATTCTCCAGACATTGCCCCGTCCGATTATCATTCGTTTCGTTCCTCGCAAAATTTTCTCCTCGGAAAACAATTTCAATAACGAAGAGCGCCTCGAAAACGCCTTGACCGAATTTTTTCAATCAAAATCACAAGAATTTTACAACAGAGGGATTAAGATGCTACCTGAGCGTTGGGCGCAAATAGTTGAAAACAACGGCGGCTATATCGTTGATTAAATTGTTTCGTTTTGTTTCAATAAATTAGTTTTAAAAATGTATTGGAGAACGACATTAACCCTTTGCACTCGAAGCTATTTCAACTGTAAATCTAGAATAATTTTTCTGGCTTATAGTATTTTTATTTTATGCGACAAAGTGCATTTTATGCATATGAAATTGACTCTTGTGACTCACGCAACAGTTACGCCCCTAACAATGATATAAATTTAAATGTTGTTAATATAAAAATTATCTTAGAACCTGATATAATAAATTTTAATTGTGCCTCAGAGTCACCACTCGAGTGCAAAGGGTTAATTATTACTAGACCGATATTTCCAGAGAGAGAGAGAGAGAGAGAGAGAGAAACGCGTCCGAAAAATCGAAATACAGTTTTAGTGGATCGATCGAAGATTCGAGCGTTCGACGAGAGCTTAGCAGACAAATTGGCTTTAAAGACGCGCGGAAATTGGGGCATCTGCCCTCTGTGAAACGTACACGGAACGCGCGAGTGCAACGTACGAGCAACGTAAAACTTTGGAGGTTGTGTAACAACGCGAGCCAACGACTCGGACGAAAGGCGGTTCCGACGATTATTTCCGAATGCCGGGTTATCGAGCGTCAGTTTGAACGCGACGGCGGCTCGTTAAAGGGGACGAAGTATCGCGAGACAATCTCCGGAGATTATTATACCGGACGCTAAGCGAATCTTCGGGCGGAATCCAGTTGAATGAGAAGGCTGTCGGGTTGATCCGTGCCGACGAGTTCTTCAAAGTCCCTCTTTGCGTCGTCGTCGTCGTCGCCGTCGTCGTCGTCGCCGTCGTCGTCGTCGTCGGCGTAACTCGCGGTAAGTTGGTCCGCCGGCTGGCTTAATTGCTAATTAATTCTAATTGATAATTCCCTCGATAGTGTTAGCCCGGGAAGTAATCTCAAAGCATGTTTACGCGAAAGTTCCGGCGCGCAATCGTCCCGTCTCGCCTCGCCTCGCCCCTTCCCCCACTCACTCGCGCCTCGTCCCTCGCTCTCCCCTCCCCTCCACTCGCCGCGTCGCCCGCCGCCTTCCCGAGCCTCGTCAGCGCCGCCGAGGCCTCTCCGCTGTGCCGCCCCCCCTCCGCGTACGCGTCTCGATTTTCTTTGAGCGTTGATTTTTGCCACGGGAAAATTAACGGCTCGAAGGTTCCGCCGTGCCGCGTACAAGGCTACAATGAAACGGGAAGGAAGTACGCACGCATACCTTCGATCCCCGGACACCCGGTGCGGGCTCGTTAAAAGGAGCCACGCTAATCGCGCGATCGGATCGTCCCGCCGCGTTGAACGCGTCTCCCACGTACTCACCTTTATATTTTCCCCCTCTCCCCCGGGTTTCGATGCCGGTTCGACGTTCAATCGTGTAATGGACTTAAAATTGCTGTACGTCACGCGAGCATCTCGTTCCCGACGAGGCTCGCCGCGAGCGAAAGAAATATAAGACGGGAGCGACGCGAAAGTCGCGCCGGCGGACATCCTCGAATATCAAACGGGTCTTCCTAGTGTGCTTCAACGAATCGACCGTGCACTTACAGAAATTGAATGATAAGTCGTGATCGATCGTTAAGAATCGGTCGACGATCGTTGCTGCAACAATTTCGATGAAGATGAATGGAATCGTTTTTCTTAGTTAATTTCATGTAAACCGTTGTTACAAGCAGAGAAAAAAACTTTGTGTATAGGATGTCCCGAAAATGTCTCGCAATCTGGAAATGGGAGGTTCCTGAAGTCATTTAAAGCAACTTTTTCCTTTGCGACAATTTTCTATGAGGCTTCGTGTACGAGTTATTAACGAAAAACACTGACCAATAAGAGGCGAGCTCGGCTGGCGCGCGACGGGCCAGCCAACGAGCGCACGGAGCCCAGTTCCGCTCATTGGCTCGGCCGTCTCACGCAAAATGATCTCGCCTCTGATTGGTCACTGTTTTTCGTTTTTGTATAACTTGTAAACGAATCCACGGACTGCATTTTCGTTAAGGAAAAAGTTGCTTCAAATCACCTCAGGAATCCCCTACTTTCGGATTGCGAGACATTTTTGGGACCCCCTGTATATATATATATATATCCAATAAATACAATCATAAATACAATAGAATAATAAATTACATAATAAATTATGCGATTTGGGGGGGGGGGGGGGGGGGGCC